GGGCAGCTACCGGTCCTGCAGTTTCAAATAAGATGCCACCACCCCCTAAACTGCCATGCCTTGTTTTTCCAGCCTTCCAACGACCGTATAACGAACAACGACGAAAAATGTTCTCAGGGCATAAAACGCACCCCTGATGGGCTGCGAACACGCTGCTCCTCGTCATGCACAGAAACCCAAGAAAGCTGCTCAACGTGTTGACAACAACAAGAATTCCCTTCATAGAAAGTCCACAGAAGGAACAACCTCAGCTAGCTGCTAGGCTCCTGTCTACCAGACTATCTATTTTGATCTTCTGAAGGCCAGCATAAGCAGGGCGTAAGCTGGGTGTCAAGCAGCCTGGTACTTAGATGCTATCTCAAACACGTTTTCGGACAGCCCTTTGCAATTCGCTATCCATTCAAGTTGAGCCCTGGCCATTTCTTGGCGGGATTCATCAAACTTCCTGTAACGAGTGAAGCCATCCTGGCTGCCAAACTCATCCAGCCTGATCATCATGTCTGCCAAGAATTCGTACCCGCTCCCATCTGCAGCGTGAAAGTTCACAGGACATGAACAGAATGATCCTACCAGTGCACACACCTTGTTCAGGTTCTTGGTGTCGAACGACAGGTGGTTCAACAATTCTCTCACCTTTCTGACATTACCAGGGATGTGAGGATCTGTCTCCCACTGCTCATTGAACTGTGTGCAAGAACGGACTCCTGTACTGCGCCTGGATTCTTTGACACAGCAGTCATCGCAGCGAACAGGTCCGTCATGTTCCTGGCAGATCAAATGCCTCAACTGCCAAAGCCACTGTGTCTGATTCGTTAAGTGGCGCCAGGTAACCGAGCGCGGTGTTCTTTAAGCTCCGCCTTGCTTTATTTGGATGATTAACCCGGCGTGGTGTTCTTTAAGCTCTGCCTTGCTTAATTTGGATGATCAGGTGTATATGGGCCATAGCTGTGATTGCTCCTAAATACGTCAAGGAGACGATCCTTCATCCGCACTGCGAGCTACCACACGACAAACGCATGCACATCGGGGATTGCATCAGGGCCTGTCACATCCATCATTTCCCCCAGCTCAGCGTGAGTGGGCATGGCGATCATTCGGGCTACCAGTGCCTTATCGATCAAACCATTGGACAAGACGCTGCCGATGGCATTCACAAACCCATCATTCACCGAGAGCTTCGCACCCTTCTGTTGCCTCTCCACAAGTCCAAGCATCATCTTCTTCACAAGTGTTTGCGCTGCCTCCTGCCGGTTAAAGTCGTTGGAGTCGTGCGAGCAGGAGCACAAGATCGTCATCAGTAAGGTCATGGGACAAACGCACCGGAGGACTGAAGTTCCGCAGAAGTGACGGCACAGGTCTCTCCGGAATATCCAAGAAAGTAAAATTCTGCTCGGCCTTCTCGAGTCTCAGCACAGTCGTAGCAACAGCATTGTCGTCATCATCGGCAAGGTCGATCAACACTGAGCCGTCATAGAGTGACCACAGGGGAATGTCTTTCCCATCTTTCCCTACAAGCTCCACAACAAGAAGGATCAACGTTCCTTCGTTGGCTGAGCGGGTGTGGGAGGAATATGCTGTTTGCACTTGAGGGATAACCTCCTCGTGCGTTCGTCGTAGATAGAGGTCAACGTGAGCTCTGGAGTCCCTGCCTGGGAATACCAGTGCACAAAATTCCACATGTTGGCTCGGTTTGCGTCCCTCATGGCTGCAAGAAAGCCATCGCAGGTCACAGCCTGCCCATCATGCCTTTTGAAATACAAATGCATTCCTTTTCAAAAGCCCTCTTTCCCAAAGAGTGTATCATACATTCGCACCACTTCCACACCCTCCTGGTAAACAGTGACCGTGTAGAAGTTGTCCATCTTGATGTAGCTGGATGGTGGAACAGGGTGAGTCATAGGTAAAGCGTCCTCGGGGAATTGGGCCATACGCAGCAACGCAACGTCGCCGATTCTCGCCACTGCTCGACAATTCATATCGGGCGAGAACTCCTGGTCTCGGTAAACTGTCAAACCCTCCTTTAAGCTAAGTTGGAACCAGTTGCGGTACGTCACTCTGTTCCCGGTCCAGTTGTAGAAGTATTCGTGGGCCACAACTCCTTCAATAGCCGTGTAATCGACATCTGTCGCTCTTTCCGTTGTTGCAAGAATCAAGCGGGAATTGAAGACATTCAGGCTTTTGTTCTCCATAGCTCCCATGTTGAAGTCATCAACCGCGACAATGTTGAACAAGTCCAGATCATACTCCAGACCATAAACATCCTCATCCCATTTCATTGCCGCTTTCCGAGACTCCATTGCGTGCCCTGTCATGGACTTGTGCTCTTGCACATATACTCGAAGGGTAACAGTCCATCCAAAGCGTGTCACGAACGTGTCCTCCGTGTACGCTAACTTTCCAGCCACAAGGGCAAAGAGGTAGCATGGCTCATGAAACTTTTGTCTCAACTCTTCGATTACTCTCTCTTCTTCTTCTTTCTGTTCTTTCAATCTTCGGTATTCTTCAACCTTCCTTCTCTCTTCTCTCAATGCGTTTTCTAACTGTCTGATGTTTTCCTCCATCACATCCACAGGCAGTTGCGGTCTCTCTTTTCAATTCTTTCTTCTTTCTCATCTTTTCTTTTCTGGTCCAGTTCTTCTAAGTGCTCGGCGATATAATAATCAAGAGCAATATGCCCTTGCCTTATGAGGTCTTCGACCCTTCTACTGATTTCCATCATCTGTACAACAGTTTTTGCGGCATCAAGTTCACCCTCTACAGCTTGCAGGTTGAACTGTCCGTGAACATGCTGTTCAGCGTCCCGGCCAGCACCATGTATCTCACGAAGCAACTGACGAAGAAGGCCCTTCAAAAATTCCCTTCTTGCGTCAATCTGACCACGTGTCTTCAATTCCCCCCCTTCGGCATCAGCATAGACCATGAGAGGAATAGGGAAGAAGAGAAGTGGGATGAACCGCGTCAGGATAGAGGCACGCAGACATTTCCAGAGAGAGTTCATTTTGCCCGCGTGTATTTAATGCATAATAAATAAAATTAAAAGACATATATAAATTCCACAGTACACGCGTCTTCTACAACAACTTTACAGCAAGAAATTATCAGAAGAAACAAACATCCAAGTCTTTTTTGAATTCTAACTTTGCCGTCTATTATTTGTGATGACACTCTACTACTACAAGTACCGCAACCATGGCCAGTGTGATCAAGACAACAAAACAAGAGTAAGTATGCACAACATCCACAGACAACCAACAGGTGAGTAGAGCCAACACATCAATGGTTAGTTCTTTTCTCAATCATCTGCAGCAATACGACTCGAGTGCACATTCACACTTTATAAACACTCCTTGCACATGCCATGGGTCACCCCTGGCCTGCCAACACAACAACTCAAAGAGTTTGCCATGTCAGCAATCAAGGACCCGATAGGTCTACAATGAGGGATGCCACGTCACAATACAGGTCTGCCTTACACCAAGTCAACACATGAATAGCAAGCAGTAACAGGTATGTGCCACGTCAGACCATGCCCTGCATGCCACATCAGCCTGTTGCCAACGCAGCTCTTCAATCTTCAACGTAGCCTTGTCATCATCTTCAAGGGACGGCTGCTCGCAAGTGCACTATTACCATGTCTAGACTTGCGGTGTGACGGCGCGCGTTAATAAACGTGTTTCATATTGCACATGCGGCACCTCCCACTTACCTGGGTGCCACGTCAACACTTGACAGCTGACAGTAGATCACGATGCAAAGATGCTCCGTGTGGCGTACTCCATACCACACGGGCCCAACAGAGCCCGACCTGGTAGACTAAGGGTCCGTAGGGGTAGGGCCTGTTTCAGGCCCTGTGTCGTTCCGACTTCCAGCCTGAAAACGACGGGCCATTTTCAGGCCCTCGCAAGATCGACCTACCCTGAAACTAAGGCACCAGACCGGGGTTTTAGCTCAGGCCTTCAGGGCCTATTTTGTAGAGCGTCAACCCCAGGGTCTGGCACGTTTTGGCATAGGCACGAGCAGCCTCTCGGACGGGCCAGCACTATATAATGCTGACCCGCCCTGTAGGCTGCAGGCAGTTCCCAGGCACTTCACGTGCAGAGGGCAGGAGGTAGTCTTCAGGACTCGGCAACGACACTCTGGAGGAGTAGTAGCGATAGCAGTAGTCTTCAGCGTTGGGCGCTAGTAGGAGAGAGAGAGAGAGAGAGAGAGAGAGAGAGAGAGAGAGAGAGAGAGAGAGAGAGAGAGAGAGAGAGAGAGAG